GATTTTGGTACATACAGCTGGAAAAGCTCCCATTGATTCTATTCATTGGGCACACGTTTGCATTTTGTCGAATGCTGAAATGATAACACTGAGCGGCAGTAAAAGAGCCGGGCACTGTACATCGTTTCCTGAACTGTATGAAAGGCTGTATCCATTGGTAAAACGATGCCCAGATTTATTAATTGGCAATGAGCAGCGCAATAACATTGATCGCTACTCTCATACTTTGAGGGTTTGTTTTTTGTCTACTTTCTATAAGACGATGAAATTTACTCTTTTTTCCTCTATTACCCATATTTTTCTGTTTCTGATAGAATGTGTGTTCTTTTTTTACAAAAATAATGCAAAGTGTCGGTATGTTTGTAGTCAGATTACGTAAAGATGGTTTTCACTTGGAAGAAGTTGACAGTTACATCTACAGTACTCGAAAAGCGCCACATTTCCAATGCACATTAATTTCCTAGCCGGAATGGACGTACCTGGCCCTTCGATCCTAAATTTCTGTAGCTCAGGATCGAAGAACCTGGTTTAACTGTGTCATACTGACGGCCTTGTTTACTCTGGTTATATAAACAAAATTTTCGAAAATTATTTGTTGATGGATCGTTTTTTGCACTTCGCTAACAACCATTTTTTTGATTCTGTTAAAACTCAAAACTTTCGCCATATCTGTTCCCAAGGAGGGAACGAATAGTAACGTTTGACATTTTCACCGTTCAGCCTTAGAGAAGCGCTGCTTGCTTGTCTTTCGGACCTGTAATTTTGATTTTTTAGATAAACTGCCAAATGTTGGCTACGTTATGTGAATTTTCGAAGTTGGAAAGAAGCGCGCTAGAAAATACGTATGACTCTGTGTGGAATGTGTTGGTGCGAAGTCGGCATAAGGCTGTTCTCGACAGTTGCGCTATTTGCTTTGGTAAAATGACAGCTTATTGTGTGACGAATGATTTCTCGGATCTTGTATATCTTTATCTCGAAAAGGTACGATTTTTGCGGCTCCTCACTCCCTCCTTCCCCCCTCCCCCTTCTCAGAAGGCCGCTTTCGTGGTCTCGTTGTGAGGAGAATATACTGCTATGCTTTTTCGCAATAAACCGCTTACTGTTCAGTTGGATAAAATGATCTCTTCTTAATTCAGATCCAGACAGCCTGGTAGGTTATGAGGGCTGGTGGTGCAGCGGTTTAGCATGCCGTGTCTGAATGTGAGAATCAGAGATTCAGTTAGTTACCAGCTCACTTTCTATTGCAAAAAAGGAGCCCGGCTTTTTAAATTTAGTAGAAGCCCTGCTGTGTATAGGATTTTTTAAAAAGTTCTAATTTTGTGCACTGCACAAGCTTTTCCACGGCACTTCCACTTCATCTTCGCTGTCGTTTCCGGGCATGTTACTTTACTAACATGAAGTTCTCCAGTCCACTGTTCGGGCAGTATTGATATTCATGGCGCAT